ACATTTGGAAAGCGTGAAATATAGCGCCGTTCAGTGGTGTCGTCAAATGAACGTGCCAGTGTGAAACTCCCCCTCATCAGCGCTCCAGTTTTTTAGATGGTTTTCGAGCTACAGGGAAGAGAAATCAGGCATTTGACAGGTCAGCTGCTCTGCACCCCCGCCGCTTACTCATTAGGAGGCGGGACAGTCGGAGACGTCCTTAACGGGCTTGAGCTTTACTACCCTGTTACTAAAGCTCTTTACTGCGTAACAACGTTTCCTACAGTTTCCATTAGCAGATAAGCCCCCTTCAAAAGATTTTATCTGCGAAGCCGATTATTGTGAACGCTTCTTCAACTAGGATCTTTAGGGCCAACCAAGCCTGCAGTTATCCACTTCGGACCTCTGCTTGCCTTTGCAGATTTTTTGCTCAATTGAGCTACTTTGACCACATACATCGCTGATATTAGACGCAGCCTTTTATTGAGCATTCGGATTCACAACCTTACTGCCAAAAACCTTCAAAAATAGCGAAATACAAGTAATTACTAGTAAGGTAACAGCCATAACAGTCTAGCATGAATAGTAGAGAAATATTGGTACTTTATGTGTTTCAGTGCTATTTTGGTTTCATGATTGTGCCAGTGGTTTCATAACTCCTTAAATGGCCATGTTTTCTTAACTGCGTAATTACAACTTAAAATTTGGTATCTATTGACTGGGAATATTGATCTGAGGTCAGCAATCTGATCAGTCAAGCAAGAGAGGTCACCTCACAGGTGATCCTTAGAGGATATGAGGTGCCAAGGATAAGGTGGAGGTCAACAGGTCACTCCGACTAAAATCGATTTTCCGCTTCATGTGACGATGATGTGATGTGGTGATTTGTGGAACGCCCCGTAATCCTTCTTTACTGCTCCATTTGTGTGATGTCGTTTTCGAGTGAAAGGAGCTTAAGATCATTTCCTCTCTATCGAAGCCTCTTTAAGAGCCTCAGGAGTTAACGAGGAGCCCTTCACGTACAACCTTCCTCCCTCCTCCCCTTTTTTTTTTTTGAAGCTCTTGCACTCTTTCCTCTTATTTTCAAATTTTTATAATGCTCATTTTCTTCTTCCATATAGTAATAGTATACTTGCAATAGTAGATAGATTAGTGCTATTATAATATAAATATTTGTTGAATTGCTATATGGTCATTTAGGTGAAAAGGTGGTTAGGGGGGAGGGGGGCATCCCTCTTTTCCAACACTGGGTGCTAGAGCACAGATAGGGAAGGGTAGACGTCTTTGTAGGCTCGTAGTGATGCTTCAAGCGCGAAGCAGGCTATGAAGGCACATTACCGTTTACACTTTCAAAAATAAATAAATCAGTGGCCAACTGGATGTTCAATTCCTTCCACATCCCAGCTTTTTGCAACAGGTAATCAACTCACCCACTCTAATGCTCTTGCCCTCCCAAGCCTTGGTTAGTAACCATATTCCCTTGACTAAAATCGTTTCCAAACACCTTTATAGGCGCGCAGAACCGGCTACTCCTCTGCGCCCTTGCCTCCTGTATCGAGGAAGAGCAGTGCCCCCATATGGGAGACGGGCAGTAGGAACGATTTTGGGTAATCGATTCGCCGCACGCGGCTGTCGCGGGCCACTCATTCGCCGTTACTACAGCTCTAGCGTTCTTCATACAGCTCAATCGATATGCGATCATTA